CCTGAAAAAGGGCTCCTTGGCTGCTGGCTATCTGCACCATCCATCTGGGAGTAACATTTTCATTCTCCTTTTTTGTTAAAGAAATCTGTAGGAAAAAAAAATCTCAGTAAGCCATTCGTGATGGCAATTAAAAAAATGTAAACTAGTTTGGAACTGCTTTTCTATATGGTGTCGTAATCTGTTCATTGTTAACATCCTGTTTGTACTGTATATATCCAAAAGAAATGAAAATAAAATGTACATATAAAAATGCAATACATATATTTCCTTTCACAATCATGCAGTTTAATTTTCATTACAAGTATAGGCGATACTGATAAAACTAAAATCTGATTTACATTTTTTGCATATAAATAACCACACAAAGAAGAAACTAAATCCTTAACAGACGTAACGCCGCAGACCCCATCTTCTTCATCCAGGCAAATCCGCACGAGACAACTTCACGATGTTGAAGATCCTTCGAGCCTAGCTGGGAGCCCTCCACAGGGCGAAGAACACCGCCGCGGCTGTCGCTCCTGCCCCGGCTGCGCTCAGCACAATGTCGATGGCGAGAAAGTGAATATCCACGAAAAGCATGATGTTATCGCTGACCAGTGCCACATACGGAATGCAAATACCGAGAGCAATGTTATCTAGTCCTATACACACTATAGTTGCTGCTAGACACCCCGCGTGCAGGGCGCTGGAGTTGGTCAGACCGGCGGCCAAGCCCAGCAGCCCGGTCAGCAAGCCCGCGAGACCCGAGCCAGCCACTGCCACCACATAGCCCTCATACATGGACAACGAGATTTCCCCCAATATTAGCAGTATCGTTCCAGAGACGGTCTTCGCGAGGTGGTAGTTTATGAGTACTCTTCGGAGGTTTCCAGGAAGCACTGCTGTGTTGACGTCGACTGTGGCCATTTTCACGAAGGGGCAGCTGAAGGAGATACGACTGCAGGTGTGGGTCTTGTCCAAATGAGCAAGTACTTGCCAAGTGGCGCCTTCTTATACTAAAGCCTCACGTTATCATCAGCGTTGTCATAGCAGCGATAACGGTCTACTGCATACGCCAGTTCCAAAACACTATTTACTGCCACCCTCCGTGAACGCCCTTTTCCTTTATCTAATCTAAAAGAATGATAGCTGTAGGTGTAAAACATGACAAGGAAGAATATTAAATATATACATACAAACATATAAATAAATATATATATGTGTGTGTGTGTGTGTTTGTACATATATATACATGCATATATATATATACACAGATACACACACATATATATATCATATATACAATATATATATATCATATATACAATATATACATATAATTTATATATAATATATATATCCCATTCGCGCCGAGAGTCACGTATAGAGTGACATGACCACTGTGAGTTTACTTGTTTAAATGTTTTTACACATAGTGGCTAGACTTGTATTTGTACTGCCTGTCTCGCCTGTTTACCCTTTTCTTTAATTTACGAAAATATTTTACGTTATCTTATTTTGCTGTTACTAATGTTTATAGCATTATAGTTATTACAATATTCATAATAAAAATAACCATCGATATTCACAGCACAAGTAAAAATATTTTCCCACCAATTCAAGTAAAGGTGAAATCAGGTAAGGCAGAGCCATCTAGTGTAGAGACATTTCACAAAAAAAAATATATAAAAAATGGGCATTTTCCCCTTTTTATTTTAAGATATATATATACATACATATATATATATGTATATATATTACGTGTGTCTATGTGTGTATATATATACACATACATGCATACAGACATTTATATATACATATATATATAGAGAGAGAGAGAGAAATGGATGTACATATATATATAAATAAATATATACAGTATATATAAATATTTATTAATTTACATACATACATAGATACATATAAGTATATTTATATATCTATCTGTCTATCAATCTATCAATCTCTCTCTCTCTGTATATATATATAATGTAAAGGATAGACTTTATTTCACTATAGAGGAAAACTAGGAAAGTTGGTAAGAGTAAACTACTAGATAATCATCAGTCATATCCTGTATCGCGAACCACTCCTCTCCATCTGCGTGATTTAGGTAGGGAGTTAATGATTGCGTGGTTAAAGATTTTAAAGGCTATGGCAGAGAACAGAGAAAAATAATTGTTCTTTGCAAATTGACAATTTAGTTTTTTGGTCAAGGATATAATGGAGTGGCGACCAAGAGTAGGAAAATTGTAATGACAGGTTTACCTTCATGTAGACCACATTCCAAACCCTTATATCCATCTAGCAGGCGATCTAGATGGATGTAAGTAGAACCAGCAATATCCCGGCCACAGGAACCATTAAAGCCATTAGTGAGGTATTTACTAGAGGTGCAGCTCTCTAAGCCGCGGTCACACTGCTCCTTCATATTAGCTGGTCTCCTACCCAACCAGTAGCCTGTCTCAACGTTCTCGTCCCCTGATACCCAAAGGCTATTCACATTACTCCGCAGGACGCCTCCTGTCCCGCGATATACTGACATAGCGATCGCACCGCTCTCGAGGAAAAAAAGAAATAACTGGATATACGTCAGTTGTATTTTTATTTGATGCATTATTTTATTGTCCTTAAAATGAGCTAAGATCAAAAGGGAACAGCCAATGCGATTGTGGGTTAGACAGTAGTTTGATAGGAAAGACTGAAATGTGTGTGATTGATTGATTATTTAGAATTATCTCCCGCGTCAACAGCTATAATGTGATATTCAATTAGATGTCTGCAGATGTCAGACATCCTTTTTCAGTGTCCTGCTCTTGTAATTGTTGCTGTTTGTATTCTATAATTCCTCACAGGCCCTAATATTGGTAAGGAGGGAATTGGCTACTTTGCGCCGATACACCCGTATATCAGAACACCATTTTAGTATACAACGTAGTAAGTGATTCGGAATGTTACTTCATAGTTTTTGTTTTCATTAGCTGGGGTCAACGAATATCGCGGGGCAAAGACCGAAGCGGCTGTCCTCTTCGCGTCCCTCCTTTACACCAAGTAGTGTGACCGCGCATCGCATAACCCAGATGGATTGGTCGTCCTCAGACTGTCAGTTAATTGCATGGCGAAAGCCTTTAAAAATCAGTTGTGGAAAACAAAGTTTCAGCTGAAACTTCAACAATATATACCATTAAAATTACTAATACTAAATATGCTGCCACAATATCAAGTCATCTTAACACATGGGAGTGTCTCTCCAGAAAGAAGACATGCACTTGACTGCACTTGCACACAGTTCCATAAAGGAACTAAATAACTAAATAAACACGACGGAATCGGCCAGCCGCCCCATAATGTGTTAAGGAAAGCGACTTTTCTTGTGGAAGATCACATCACTCTCGGTGTTCCAAGATTGGGCAAGAAGCAGGAACACCAAAGCAATGTCTAAGTTTAGTTGTCAGATTAATATTCCCATGTAATAGTTTTATAATTTTTGGGCGAAATTTATCAGCAGCGATACTGAATTGTTGAAAATCTTTACGGTGTCGGTAGTCTGTAGCCACAGTATCATGTAAACATTGCATGGATTTATAATCGTAAGAACATAACACGAACTTATGATTAGTAGTACTTGCCAAAATAACTGTACTGTATAATATTCACCTCATTCTTTTTTATAATTGTATTCCTGACTGTTTTTAACATGCTTGTTTAATGTAATTTCCGTATCACTATACTGCATATCAAACGTGGGTTTGGTGCCAAAACTTTTAAGTTTAGTGTTGATGTTCTTTTTTCATGAAGTGTGAAAATACTACTTATTACCATATTCACATCTTCCTATTCATTGATCATACATATAACTTAACCAACATTGAAAACTCTGCCACACTGCCAATGAATTGCATCCCTAAAATCAATACGGCATAGCTAAATGAGGTGCAAACCCACAAGCAACCTATACAGCATAAGGCCCATTCATAACAGAAAAGCACACATACTCGCATTACGCTTGTGTCATTCCCTTGTTTTCTTATAACCACATCTGTAATATTCATTATGGACCATCATTTTCCAATTTCACGAGAGCTAACTTGACCGTTCTTTGTCTTCTCAAAAAAAAGAGATCTTGATTCATATTCTATTACATTAAACTATACTCGTGAATACATTATCTGGGGCACACATGGGAAAAAGAAAGATGGATTCAGTTTACTTCTCTGAATGATACTACTGAATTATACTAATGATACTACTACTTCTTTCAGAATTTTCAAGTCTTATGTTCTATTATATTCATAGTTTTTGCCTCCACAAACCCATGAGGCAATGTATGCACAGATACAATATACATCTAATATATATCAATATATATGTAATACATATTAACCTTCAGTCTGTATATGTTTGTGTGTGTGTGTGTGTGTGTGTGTGTGTGTGTGTGTGTGTGTGTGTGTGTGTGTGTGTGTGTGTGTGTGTGTGTGTGTGTGTGTGCTTTTGTGTGTGTGTGTGTGTGTGTGCTTTTGTGTGTGTGTGTGTACTTTTGTGTGTGTGTGTGTGTGCTTTTGTGTGTGTGTGTGTGTGTGTGTGTGTGTGTGTGTGTGTGTGTGTGTGTGTGTGTGTGTGTGTGTGTGTGTGTGTGTGCTTTTGTGTGTGTGTGTGTGTGTGCTTTTGTGTGTGTGTGCTTTTGTGTGTGTGTGCTTTTGTGTGTGTGTGTGTGTGCTTTTGTGTGTGTGTGTGTGTGTGCTTTTGTGTGTGTGTGTGTGTGCTTTTGTGTGTGTGTGCTTTTGTGTGTGTGTGTGTGTGTGTGTGCTTTTGTGTGTGCTTTTGTGTGTGCTTTTGTGTGTGTGTGTGTGCTTTTTTTGTGTGTGTGTGTGTGTGTGTGTGTGTGTGTGTGTGTGTGTGTGTGTGTGTGTGTGTGTGTGTGTGTGTGTGTGTGTGTGTGTGTGCGCGTGCGTGCGTGCATGCATGCAAATGTACGCATTTTGTGCGAGAAAAAAATTCGAGTAGGATAATGAAGAAAAAAACTTAATTCTCATTTTATTTCTTCCAGGCAGAAGAATCATAGAATTTGGCGTACCTTATAAACAAGCGCTACTGTACAACACAACTGTCGCTTTGCAACTAGTCTTAAAGTATAAAACCAATAAATTCTTTAGACGAAGTTAGTAGACACAGATATCAAGGAACAGGACGGTCTTTTGGCATCCATTAACAAACTACTATATACAATGTGGCACTAATAACTCCTACAAAGAAGACGTCATATCTTCCTTGCACGTCGAGACTCCATCATTTAGTGGGCCTGCTACTTCAGTATTGTCCAGCTGCCAGTGTGGGCACTTTGTCACTGAAAGTTAACATAAAAAAAGACTATGGACTAATGAAGTATTCCTTAACGGGTTGTGCTGCCCAACCTTCAAAACCATTTGGCTTCTTATCATGTAGTTGAAGCGAGAGAATGTTAGACAGGACTGCAGACAGGATCAAGAGACGAGCTCAGCACAGCTGCATGTGTACACGTGGGCGAAGCTCTTCTTTGTTAATAATTATTCATAAAACTGAAAAATAACCCAAACACACCAAGCAGACAAGCATCACAGGATAATCAACTGTATATAAAAGAGATTACAGAAAGTCATAACATAGCAAAGTTCAAACTGAGACCCGAGATGGGAATTCATCCTATGGATAAAGTATGATACGTCAGAGAGAAGAATGATCTTTTTTCCTCCAAATGGCACGAGGCGTTCTCCATTGTTGTTGTTTCTATTGCTCCTCACTCAGTCCAGGGATTGATATCTGTTGCAATGACACAAACTCTACCTTCAATCGTGAAGATGAAAGGCGAGGCGTGTTTTGTTTTGCTTTTATTCATCAACACAAGTATACTACAAACTCAAATATGCATTTGAGTAGGTATTGCCATGACATTCATTGCACTGTCAATATATAAACCTAAAGAAAGCCTCAGGACAATAAATTGTGATATTAAATAACCTAACATTACATAGTATGTATGCCCATTCCTTGCAGACTTCATATAAGTGCCCACTAAATGTTTAAGTTACATCTGCAGCAATAACAGTGCTGCTGCTCGCACTAGTATCCTCAAATAAAACTCTGGCTACAATGTACAGTTTATGTGCTTTATCCAATACTTATCACTTGAAACTTTCGCACATAAATAAATATTGGGAAATAGATCACAATATCATAAACAATGACACAGTTCAGAAAATGCCAGCATAAAGAATCATTCCTCGTTGTCATTAAACAGCACCTGTCTGTATACCGAAAAAATCGAGGAAACAATGTAATATGCTAATTTCAGGACATCTATTCCTCATGTTCACATTAATACATAGAACTCAAAGGTACTCAAACTGCATTCTATATGGTTTGCATTTACACATGTCCATATGTAAACTGTAAATCTTCGGCAACAGTAAGCACATGCAGGAGAAAGACAAGCTCTAACAACAAGTGATTTGTCCAGAAGCGACCTTCTTAACAGAAGAACATGTGCTGTCAAATACTGTCTCTTGTTAGCTTGCTATCTTATATCCTGGTTATTTATATATATATTTATATGTATATATATAATCTTTTTACAGCCTCTTGTAAATTCCTAACAAAATGTATTTTCCATAACTGTTCACGGTTTCGACACTGACAGTGATGCATTCCTCACTATCAACGCGACTACTAATGTTTGGAATTTCAGATCACAGCTGCAGAGTTTAGTGAAGTTCACACCACAGGAACACTTCCACCACATGAAGCACCAGACCTTCACGGATTTTTGCAACACATGGTTTCCAACAGGGCTTGCTGTTGCTCCTCCCCGAGCTTGATTTTGTCGTCGATCTCCCTGGCGTCCATGATGAGCTTGGCCTTCATCTTGATGAAGTGGTCGTAATCTGCATACTCGTCCTCACTCAAGTACTGATTTAGCACCTTTGCGACCTGGAAGTCAAAAATATATTTGCATGAATTTTCGAAACATCATACTTATATTAACGAACACGAGCAATCTTTCTGCTTTTAAAATTCCGTCTGGATGTACAACTTTATTAGCAATCAATATGAATGGAGATTATTCCTAAAGCCTACCTGTATAGCTCTTCTGTCTGTGTTTTCCTTGAGCCTCTTCGCCTCCTCCAGCTGGTCGCGCAGCTTGTCACGCTTACCCTCAAGAATACGCTGCAAGATAGAAGCAAAATTTGTAAAAAATATATAAATATATATATAAATATAGTCATAAACTTTTACGAGTTAATGATGGAGATTTTGAAATCTACAATTATATATGCCTAACACTTCTCTACTTAATTATTAATCTATGATTTATATGTTAATCATAATCAGTTCCAGTGACCTGTATCTACTCAGAATACGATACTTTACTGTTACGACAAAATTCTGTAAAATCATTTCAAAAGAAGCCGACTATGCCGCAGGCCCCACCTTCTCCTCAGGGTCAGCTTCCTTGACGAGCATCAGCAGGGCATTCTCAGCGCGCGCCAGGCGGCCGGAGAGGCCCAGGAGGAGCGAAGTAATTTTGTCGATCTCCTCCACGTGGAGCTTGTACTTTTCCGCCTCGGCCAGGCTGGCCCGGGCCTCCACCTCCTGCGTGACCTCGGCGCCCAGCTCCTGGTTGAGGCGCATCTCCTCCTTGATGGCCTCTTGCTCGGCCCGCAGGATCTCCAGCTTCCGGCCGATGCTCGCCACCAGCTCCTCCTGTCCAGGGAAAGATATTCGGTTTATATTTTACATTACAGTTGCATCCATTTATTTACTCACGATTTTTATTTTGTTTTACAAGTTATGGAAAGCTACAGAACTGAAAATGATATGCAATAATGCCAACCATCTTGAATATATATGAAAGTATCTCATTTCCAATATGAAATGGGGGAGTAAAGGAGGCAATGCAGAAAACGCAAGTGCATGAGTAGCCCTTGAAGAGCGCAGAGCAAAGGGGACCATGAAAGCGGCCACTGTCTGTGCCAGCAACCGGAGGTCGTGCTCTGAGCGTCTTTCATTACTGCGAGCTGTTTCCTCACCTTCCTCTTCAGGAGTTGCTGATGATCGGTGACTGGCGTGATGGTGTCCTGGAGGTTGTTTCCGCTCCCCCGAAGCCGCGTCAGGAGCTTGGCCTTGCTCTCTGACGTAGTGAAGTAGGCGGAGTCAGCTGGCAGTGGAGATTTGTCACTCGTTCTGTTGGGAGACGAGAAAGAGCTATAGAACATACACCTGGTCAGAACATGATAGTCATCTACATACTAAGCATTACAAGTTTGTGGTCTGAGATTCCTCCTGTCATCAACGTCCCACAAAAAGAGCAAACTGACTCCCCGGGTCACGTGACTCACAGTGTGTCAACAAACACGTACGACCTGGTGTGACTGCGCCCTCCCGCAGATCTCCGGGAGGCTCCCAGTAAGTCTCCCTCACTCTTAGTTCGGTGTCGCAGCTTGCACGGGAGAGGGACGATAGGAAGGTCCTCCTTCAGAACAACCATCACTAAAGTTACCCGCACTAATTACACTTTCCGGACGATGACGTCAACTATGCAATAACGCGAGGACACAAAGTGCAAGTTGATCCGGGCTTCTGTCCCGGACATTGTATCAGCGCTTCACAACTGAACACCTTTAATCTATCTGCGACATGATTTTGCCTAAGATCTGCGTCTCCTGGAGGCGAGGTAACCTGCGCGAAATCCTCCCAGGACACTACCACGCGGCCGTGTGGCTAGAATCAAGAGACAAGACTGGGGAGGAAGAGTAGAGGCGGCGGCGAGGTCCCACACCGGGCCCCGCCAGGACATCTGAGTCATGTTCTCTCGAATGACCTTGTGGATTGAACCAACACCGGGAAACGTATTTATGTAGACTTAATCGTTTATGAAGTTCCGATCATATGTTTATATGTACTGCGTTTCATTGCTGAACGAGGCTGGCCTAACAAAGCAACACGAACTCAAACTCGTGAAGACATCCGGCAACTCCGAATGGCACAAGTGTTACACCTGTGCCATAACACTCAGACAACGGCTACGTGGAAATGTCGCACTTAATGGATGTAGCCCAGGTAATTTCACTTACACTAAGGTAAACATTATTTCCTAACTAATCTTTATAATTCATCAAAATATAAGAATCCAAAACTCTTCATCAGTAGTTGAGAAAACAGACAAAACCTGCCTCTTATCCCTGCGCCGCGGCCAATCTCCGTTTTCCTTTCTTGTCCATCAGTTCTCGCGCTCCCCAACCCTGCCTCGCCCCCCCCCCACCCCCTTCTCCGAGCCTCATAACCTCACGCGAAGAGGTCACACTAATCCCCGGCTGTGCTAATCAACCGCCTAGAATCCCGTGCGGGCGCAGAGTGCTGGGTGAGTACGGCGAGGCAGATACGAGGCTGTGCTTAGAGAGTAGTATTAGCTGTGGGGTAGGAGAGGCTAGTGACCCCGGCTGCTAACAAAAACTTGCCTCATGCCATTACCCAGGAGAGTATCCGTGCCTCCGCTCGCTACTCTCCCGTCGCTGTGGTGTCTCCACGCCCTCCAATCCCTCATTTCTAAACAGCGCACTCCTCTTTTTAGGACAGTGACTTGCATTTCTAAAATATAACCGTGTTTTACATTGCTCAACCAAGTTCATTTAAACAACAAGGGGACACCTTTCTTAACAACAAAGCAAATAATTGAAACCAAAAATCACCAGCGATATCACTTGCACTTGTACATACAGTGGTCCCTCAGTCGCACCTTCGCCCTCCAACCCCACATCCCGACCCCAAGGCTATACCCCGCCCCAGGCCAAGCACAGCACCGCCCGCAGACATGTTTTGCCCCAAGGTGGTGGAGGTGCGCATGCACGAAGGTGCGCCACTGCTGCTGCTTCTCTCTCTCTCTCTCTCTCTCTCTCTCTCTCTCTCTCTCTCTCTCTCTATATATATATATATATATATATATATATATATATATATATATTATTTGTGTGTGTGTGTGTGTGTGTGTGTGTGTGTGTGTGTGTGTGTGTGTGTGTGTGTGTGTGTGTGTGTGTGCGTGTGTGTGTGTAAGCGAGTGAGTGTAAGGCGCGTGCATGTGCACAAGTGTTTTCTGTGTGTATATTCTGTGGGGGTTTCATCATGGCAGAGTGATTCAGATGCAGGCAGTGTTGCCGTGGCGGTCAGAGAGTTGTAATAAGCTGTTTTAATCTTTCAAAAATGGTACCACATCCTAGGACGGCCAAAACGCGGAGGCAGAGGGACGCGAGGCCCTCCCTCGCCCGCCAGCACTTTCCCTTCCTTCGGCCGGGCGGGCAGTGCCACTCTCACTGCGTCCGCCGCCTCCGCCATCTTCTTCTTCTTCTTCTTCTTCTCCTTCTCCTTCTCCTTCTCCTTCTCCTTCTCCTTCTCCTTCTCCTTCTCCTTCTCCTTCTCCTTCTCCTTCTCCTTCTCCTTCTCCTCCTCCTCCTCCTCCTCCTCCTCCTCCTCGAATGCTAACCAAAGGAACAAACGAACTTACGTGTTTAGGCAGGTTGTGGCGTCGCCGTTAGTTGCGGGCGGGGAGGCGGGGGTGGTGTGGCTGTGTGTGTTGTTGGGCGCCATATTCTTGGGCGTGTGGAGGCTGCTAAGGTCCGGGTGGTGGGCGTGGGTGCTGTTGATAAGGTCCTTCCTCAACTCCAGTGTGAACACACCCTGCATGTAGTATGCTGCAGTCTTGTGCTCTGGACCAGGTGCTGCAAGACGAAACAAAACCAGTTAAGCATTGTTATACGGGTGTATAAAGATATTAACCCATAAATCTAATATTACCGAAACTTGACTGATTATAGATGATAATATAACCTTTGAATATCATCCCTTATGAAAATTCATATGTCTCCGATGTCGACGAATCCGACTGACAGCAAATAAGCCCGCTTGTAGCAGGTAAACACTACTCAGGTCTACTATTACAAGAGAAATTAAGAGAACACTTGACGGTAATTCACTGCGGCGAAGCAGAGGGAGGGCGCGTATGAAAGTGGAGGCGGGACAACTCCGGTGGCCTAATTCGCGGCCGTCCAACGGGGTCGGCTCTCGGCCATCGAGGAAAGGCGCGCTTTCGCAGTCACTAGTCCTTCATATTCACTAGATTATCACAAAAACTAAAATAATTACTTTCCAAAGGCCTGTTTTACAGAGAAATAAACTATGACAGCTGTTTAGTCAACAGCGTAGAACACGGCACACGCTAGCTTGCGTGGAGTGGCTGTTTTCCTCACAAGCTGTTCACACAGGTGTTCAACACAGATGCTCGTGACGCAGAGTCCGGCCTGCAAGTGTGCCCGCCGCGTCGGCCATGACGAGAGCGAAGACGAGCCCCTCCCCCTCCTCACGAACGTCACGCCTAAATTTGCTTTTTGCGCTGACAACATTACCTAGTGGGAGCGCCTTCTTCCGGCATCACTTAATCGGTTAAACAAAAGCGTGAGGGCGTGCGCAGGGGGAATGCCTCGCCAAGGTCTCTTGACAAAACGCCACCGTCAGTAACCCTTTCTTGGACAAGACAAGTGCACTCTCACTGCAAGAATACTATTACGTGGAAGCAAAATATATGCTTGTAACCTACATCTGCATTTATTTCCAGTATTATCACCGGCAGAGTTAATTTCATGGAAGCCTATGCTTAGACACACTCATTCGGACTCGCCCAAACAAAGGCCTGAATGCTCTTAGGCGGAATGAAACGAACCAAAAAAATGTAATCTGTCCTCGTGCGTATGGCCGAGTCCTCGCGCGGGACAGCAACAAGATTTCAGAAAAGAATTTGCTGCCTGCAGGGAAACCAGACGGTGCTCGGCCGCCTGCAGGAATGGCTCCTCACGTCACCACGCCGCCAGTAATCCTTGTAATCCCAAAGCCCCTCAAGTGCTGCCCTCATACCAGTGCGGCTAACTTGGCCGTCTTTCCTGGATTCGGGATTTCATACGTTTTCCACAATTCCTAAAGAGTCCCTTTCCCTCGGCACCCACGAAAAAGGATACGTTATAAATTTCAATAAAAAAAATCTATTGTTGCGAGTATATCCGAACAAATCACTCTAAAATAAATATACGGACGCCAGAAAACCCATAAACCTCTCCCACCGGAAACTATAAATAGAAACGAAGCTTGTCTGCATACCTTCCAAGGGCCGCCCTAACCCCGTCTCGGCCCGTGCCTCTCCCGCCCACAACGGAGGAATCGAACAGCGTAAAGGCAAATCTTTTATCGTCTACATCGGACGCGGAGGTGGTAGTCCGTGGAATAAGGAGTTACATAAAAATCGAAACGTGCGAGGCGTGTGAAGCACTAGTAATAGTAAAGTTACAGTGGCGACGCAACATGGGCGACCAGGGAGAAAGAGACACACTTTTTTAAAACGCAACTTCTTTCATAGAAAGAATTTCATCTGAGAGAAAGAGAGAAAAAAAAGCTACAATCGCCGTGAATCTAACCAGTGAATCTCCAGAGAAAGTCAATGGAAAGTT